CTCCCTAATGAGTGACCCTCCAGGATCAGCAGGTAAGCTGATGGGAGTTGTGGGCTCCATTTGGCTTTAGCACTAGGCCAATGTGGAGTCAAATACAGATTTTATCTCATTTACTAGCTGTTACTAGTCAATTCAAAGTCTAAGTCTTGCTTTCTCATCTTAATCTTCAGAGTTATACAAATTAAATAAGAAGAGCTTATGCAAAGCGTCCAGCAAAAAGGAAGCACTTCCTAAATGTTAGTTTCATTCCCTCTGCTTTTTTGCATTAAGGTAGCTACCAGGTGCCAAACATCTGATTCAGAGTTGTCACCTCTGGTCTTCACCACATCCCTGCAAGTAAGAATTGTCATCTCCATTTGTAGATGAGGAAACTGAGTCTCAGAGAGTTTATGTGACTTCCTCAAGGTGACACAGTTAGAAAGTGAGAAAGTGCAAAGTAGAGCCAGGGTCTAGCCGGCCTTAAAGTGCGCTGTGCTTCTTGTTCTTCTGTTGGGCTTTGGAGCCAGAGGCTCCTGCCATGCCCCTCCCATTGCAGCACAATGGACCTACTCTCTTTGGAATCAAGCTGGTCCTGATGGTACCAGTAAGTTCCTGAATGAGCAGGCAGGACTGGTGCCTGGATGTGACATCCCTGGTCATAAGACTGTTCTGCAGTGTCACATGGCCATGTTGATTGATGAGTTGGATGGGAGAATGAGTAAGCCCTTGCCAGGAAAGGGAGTAGGCCCAGATTTTAGCTCAGTTGTGGGTCAGAACTGGAGGTCTGGGCCCAGCAGTGGTGGGGCAATAGTAACAAAAGCTCTGCAGTGTTGGAGGCCATATTGAAGATTGGGATTCAGATCTTGGGTTGACTTGAACATGCCAGATACATGTGCATGTGCCAGGATCCCAGCTGATTGGAAAGTGCTGAGGTGGAGGGGTCATGACACAAGACCCTCTTAAGTGTGCTTGACTCTATCTCATGAAATAAATAAACTTTTTAAAAAAATAAGTTGAGATCTGAACAGGTGGAGAGGAAGGCATAGAAAGATACCCACGTGAGAAGGGGCACTGAGTAGGAGTTGACACTTGGAGTCAGGGAATGTGCCCCTGAGCTGGAAATGATAAGACCCTATGCTCATGGAGACTCTACACCCATGTTTTATCCTGGATAATCTTCACAAGAGCCTGAACTAGGCTGATAAGCCAAGCATCCCCATTGTGGCTTTTGTATAAAGAATCTGAGGCTCAGAGAAGTTAAGATATTTGGTTAAGGTCACCCAGCTCTAGGATGGCAGAGCTGAGTCCCGGATCCAAGTCTTCTACGTTATAAGCTCTTCTTGGTGACCAGTAGGGGACTAGATACTCACTACTAATCTCTTCATGGCCCTGAGGACTCAGGGAAAGCCATCTGGCCTGGAGATAAGAGTTTATTTAAAAATATGTATTAATAGGGCTTGCAGGTGGCATAGTGGTTGGGGTGCAGGACTCCTACATGGCTGACTGTGGTTTGAGTTCGCAATCAAGCAACTTGCTTTCTCACTTTCCATTTCCCTTTCTCTCTTTTCTGGTCAAATTAAAAATAATAATAATAAAATAAAATAAAAAATTCTTTAAAAAATAATAATAAATAAAAAGTAAAAACATGCATTAAATACTTTCTACATGGAAGATGTGCTAGAAGTTTCGGGAACATGAAGAAGATCAGAGAGCTAGAGAAAGAGGAGAGAGAGTGGATAGAAGGATTTATGGAATTTGGTACAAGGAGTTGAATGCCCACCCCCCCCCAGCCAGTACACACCACACCTCCATCCTAACCTCTACAACTTGTGAATATCTTATTTGGGAAAAAGGTCATCCCTGATTACCTAAGTAGGCCCAATTGTAAAGACAATTGGAGAGATACATAGAAAAAAGAAGATAAGGCCAAGAGAAGGTGGAGGCAGAAATTGGAATTATGCAGCCACAAACCAAGAAGTGCCCTAGGGCTACAAGAGGCCAGAAGAAGCAAGGAAGGCCCTTTCACTGGAGACTTGGGTTGACTGCAGCTCATGAACACCTTGATTTTGGACTTCTCACTTCCCAGCTACAATCATACATCACAGCAGCACTGGGAATGAGTGCCCTCAGTGAGTGTCAAACACAGATTTCAAACCCATGATTCCTTCACCCTATCTCAGATATCAGAGTTTTTCATGGTGCGAATTGTTCCTCAAGAGAATCTGTGTGGGTACCTATGAGTACCTGGGGCCCTCATACATCCTCATGCCAACAGTCTGATTGTGTCTATTTCTCTAAAGACCTAAAAGATATTCCTGCCCATGAAACTTTTCTGAAAGATATTGCTGTCCGTGAAACCAGCTATGGAAAATATGGAGAGAAAAAAATACAGCCATACGGTCTTAAAGTATTATGCTATTGATATTTACTTCTAGATTCTTTTTTCCTGTGTCTGTTATAGTTGCATAGCTGTAATCAGGACATGTATGTTTTATTATCTCATTCTCCCTAAAGGCTATGAAATGCATATTATTATACCCATTAAACAGGTACCGATTTAGGTAAGTGACTTGATTTGTCGAAGAAGAAAGTGATAAAGGGCACAGATGTAGAAGGGAAGACTCTCTGGAGAACACAGCAATGTAAAGGGCTCCTGTGCCATGGGGTGGTGGCAGCCATGGCAGGGAGCCAGACTTTTTCCCTAAGTAACCGGCACCATCAGCATTCAGCAGATCCAGCCACATCCTCTTCCCCAGTACTCAGCCTGGTTGTATGACTCTGTGTTGTCATGTAGAGTCTGCTAAATAGCCATGGTCATGATGTCGTGCCACTGCAAAATATGGTCTGCACTGGAGTGGGAGCCCTCAGGAACTGGGATTGCCAGAGAGGGACAGTAAGGGGTGTGACTGTCAAAGATCAGAGAGGACAGAATGCCAGGAATTCAGAGGCAAGATAAAGATTAAGAGACAGAAGAGGCCAGAGTAGGCATGAGGCCATGAGTTCAGCCCTGAAAGGGAGATATTCTATCGAAGACATCACACATCAGAACATCAGACCATTATAAGGTAAAACCCAGTGCTGAAACAAACCTCTGCCCACCCAAAGGCTCCTACTGGGTGTTCTGTTAGGTCAGAAGCCATTCCTAGCCCTTGGTAGTCCCTAGAGAAGCTGGTCTATACCAGTAGTGACAAAAACTAAAGGAGACCCCAACTAAAGGTGGATGTGTCACTGAGCCAATAACCACAGAACTAAAGCCAGAGCTCAGCACAGTGGCCTCAGTGCTTGCTCCAAAGCACTTCTGATAGGCTGGTTGGTGAGAGCAGGGTCTCCCTGGCAGCCTGGTCCCTAAGCTATCAAGACTTGGTCCAGCATAGCCAGTGGTGAGAGGACTGGAGCTTCGGATGGCAGAGAATACAGCCTTATCTTAGGTTGTGATTATGCAATTTAGGATCTGCATGCCTATCACCTTGCAATGGCTTTGAAACTTGACTGTGTGTGTGTGGTGAGGGAGTGTGGGCTGGGTTTATTCAGGAACAGAGGAGGCCTGTTGGGATGCATGTGGGATACATTGGAACTGTATACTAGAATAGAAACAGGAAGATCACAGGGACCTCCAGACCAGTGAAGGAGTTTGTGCTTTTTCTTCTCTCCAGCAGGAAGCCACTGACACCTTTTGAATAAGGGGAGAGGGGAATGGTGATGCTGATGATAAAGCAATAGTAAGAATAGTTACTATTCTTAAGCATCTACTTTGTACCAGAAACTTCACTGACATTATCTCAGTTTTAGTCTGCGTTTGTTTGTTCATTAAGAAGTCAAGCTTAGCACAGTTAGGTAAATTATACCACGTCTCACAGGTGGTAAGGGGCAGAGCCAGGATTTAAACCTGTATGTTTCATTC